CCACCTGAACATGCTCCCCGGCACGCTGACCAGCACGCCCGCGCTCACGATTAAAAAGTGGGTCTCCGCCGTCAAGGCGGCGACCGCGCCGCTCGAGGAACGACTGCTGCGGAAACTGCCGCCGCACGCCGCGCTCACCCGCTCCGTCGACGACTTCAGCAACACCGAGCGCCTGCCCGGCCCGCTGTTCCGCGCGATCGCGCTCGCGCACGAGGCCACCGAGATCAAGGACCTGTACAGTGGCGCGAGCTACAGCCTCGCGAACTTCGTGCACTCGCTGGTCGTCAAGCCGCCGCACGTGCTGAAGGAGCTCAGCGCGCTGCTGGCCTCCTTCAACGCTGCGCTGCAACACTGGTCGAAGTTCGTGCTGAACCTCTCGCACAAAACGATCGAGCCCTCAACGCTCGCGCTGCAGTCCGGGCTCCTGCTAGAGTTTGAAGACGCCCTGCACCGCGCGCGCGCCGCGCTCGACCGCCTGCACGCAGTCAAATTCACCGACGACTTCTCGCTGCAGAGCGTAGTCTACGCGCAGCTCGCCGAGGCTAGCAAACTGGTCTCCGCGCTGATCGCCGGCTACGACGTCTACCTCGCGAACCCCGCGCGCTGCCGGCAACTGCAGAACCTTGCCGCAGGGGTGCGCGCGAACACGCCGCAGCTGCTCAACCCGAGCCCCGAGGCGCAAACCAAGGCCATCAACGCCGTGCGCAAAATGCTCGCCGAGTACAACGCGCTGAACTCCTACGACAGCACCTCGCCCTTTCCGGAAGTCGTGTTCAACGACCAGGGCTTCCAGTCCGTCAACGTGCGGCTGCGCCGCTTCCTCAACGACGCGCAACAGCCCGCCTTCTCGATCGAGCGGCTCACCGACTCCGGCGGCACCGCGCCGTTCGGCTTCGGCCCCCCGGCGCTCTTCGCCGGCACGCCGTTCGAAGCTCCCGCGCGCGACGCCGCCGCGGTTGCCGAAGTTTTCGCCAGCTCACTGCTGCCCGCGCTCCACCCCGCGCTCGCACTCAAACGGCGCTACGCGATGGACACCGTGGGACTCGACGTCACGCTCGACTTCGAAGTCAAACTTGTGTGCTACTTCGACCCCGTCGCTAACAGCCCCCGCCTGCTGGAACTCCTCAACGTCGGCCTGCCGCGCGCGCTGTTCAGCGCGCGGCTGCGCAAGCGCAGCCGCCCGCGCAAATGCAACGCCACCGCGTCGACCGACGGCGAGCGCGACGACGCGCAGGACGCCGACGAAGACGGTGACGCAAACGATGTCGCAAACGATGACGCAAACGACGACGCAAACGACGACGCAAACGACGGCGCAAATGACGGCGCAGCCGCAGCCGCGCCCGCAGACGCAAGCGCGCTGAAGCTGCACTGGGTTGTCGCCAAGATTCTCTCCGACTCCTGGGCGCCCAGCCGCGAAAGCTCGAAACACCCGCTGCCCTTCGACGCTTACTTCGACATTCTCCGCGCGCACGCTTCCGAGCCGCCGCTCGGCGCAGACGCGTCCCGCGCGCCCGCCTTCTGCCTGCTGCACCGCGCGCTGCACCGCTTCAACAACCAGCCGAACCGCTCGCAAACTGTCGAGCACCCCGACTACTTCCGCGTTCAGGCGCCGCCCGAAACCGAGCTGCTGGACTACCTCTCGCGCCACTGCCTCGGCGCGCTCCCGCAAGGCGCTGCCCTGCTCTTCGACGGCTTCCCGCACGCGCCCGTCGCGCACTCCAAGACGCAACTTGTCGCCAAATTGATGCGAAATCCGCGCTTCACCGCGCCGCAGCGCAAGAGTCTCATGGAGCTGCCCGACCCGAAAAAGTCTAAGAGCGAGCACGCGCGCACGAAGCGCAAAGCTACGGCGGCCGAACAGGCTGCCGAACAGGCCGCTGAGCATGCCGCCGAGCACGCCGCTACGAAAGCTTCCGACGCGGGCACGGTCGCAGAGAAACCCGCCTACTTCGAAGCGACCTGCACCACTCGCAAGCGGCTTGGCTTTCCGTTTGCGCCGACCGCCTTCGCGTTCGAGGCCGCGTTCAACTAACCGCTGCCCAGCAGGTTGCCTATCGCGTTCGTGATTTCGCTCAGCGAATTCGTCGCCTTCGGCCGGCGCCCGTCCAGCATTGACATGAAGTTCTCGAACCCCGCGCTTTTGCCGTGCTTCTCCTTGCTCGAGCGCGCGCCGCCCTGCCGCTTGCCGCTCGCGTCCTTCTCCTCCGGCTCTGTGCTCAGCCGGTACTCCCAGCGCGCGTTCCCAACCATCGACTCCTTCGCCGCCTCGCCCTTCTGCCGGAAGCAGTCGCAAATCGCGTTGTTGATGTCGCGCTGCGGCACCGTCAACGTGTTGCGGTACAAAATGATGTCCTCTGTCTCGCGCACCATCACGCCGCAGCGCTCCACGTCGTGCTTGCTGTTGTACACCGACGTCACGCACAGGCTGTCGTGCGCCGACACGTACACCGCCTGGCAGTGGCGATTCTCTTTGTAGCCGTTCAGGTACGGCACCTGCTTCTGCCAGTCGTGGATCCGCGGAATGCAGCACGTCATCCCAATGTTGTTGCACGCCACGGTCGGCTTGCCGTTCACCGCAGGCGGCCCCGTGCGCTCGCCGCTCGCGTTCTTCTTGCGAGCCGCGACGCGCGGGTTATCGCTCAGCATTTTCGACACCTGTCCGAGCTCTTTGACTGGAATGTTGTTCAGCAGCTGCGAGCCGGTCGTCAAGATGTTCGACGCCGCTTGCAGCGTCTGCAGCAAGTTCGGCCCGCCGCCGCCGAGCAGCCCTGCGCCGCCACCGAGCAGCCCCGTGCTGCCGCCCAGTGAGCCGAGCAGGTTTCCAAGCAACCCGCCGCCCAGCATCGGCGCGACGCCTTCCGCACTGCGCGCCTCGCTCTCGGCGGAGCGCGCCGTGCGCAGCGCCTTCGGCCGCTCCTCGGCGTAGTGATCGGCCGCAAACTGTTGCGCCCCGATTCCGCAGTTTCGCGAAACCGAGACGCTTGACGGCGCGTCCGAAAACGAGATCACCGAGCTGTAGTGGTAACACAGTTGCTCGCGTTTGTCGAAGCTGCAGAACACGCACTGGTCGTTGTTCTGGCACAGCGTTTGACACTCGAGCACGTTCGCCGCGCGCATCAGCAAGTCTTCGTCGCCCTCGACTCGCTTGTTCTCTATCATGCAGCTAGACAACGACTCGCTTTCTTCGAGCTGGCGCTTCCGCGCCGACTTCTCTCGCGGTTCCTCTGGAACCGCGGTTTGCGCGCCGCGCACCGCGTGCGACGAAGCGGATCGTCGCACGCGCAGCGCCGCGTCGTCTGCGGACTCTGCGCCCGCCGCGCCGCGGCGCGCTTTGCCGGAACGCAAGCCGCCCAAGTTTGCGAGCGCGCTGCCCACCTCAACCGCGGGCCCGGCGAAGTCGGACAGCAGCGCGCGCAGGTTGCCTGCGACGCCGCCGAGGCTTTCTGAGTCGGGCAACGCAGTCTGCGGCTGCGAGCCGAAAAACACGTCGAGCAGCCGCAGCGGGCTCTCCAGCTCAATTTCCTCGGTCGGCGCCGACTGCTGCGCGAAGCGTGAAAAATCGGTGGGGTCGTCGGGCGCAATCTGCGTCAACTTGTGCGGCGGATCGAGCTGCTCCGTCTGCGTCACGTCGGGTGCGGGCTCGAGCGACTGTTCGCCGCCGCCGCGCTGCGAGCCTAGTGACGCGACGTTTTTCAAGTTCCGGAAGATTTGCAGCGACTGGTTCACGATGTCTGGCACTGCACAGCCGCGACTTACCGATGAACGTCGAGGCGGCCTGCGGCTCGGCTGCCAACAAGGTTTTGACAAGCAAGAATTTGTTCATCTGATCTACATAGCTTTAGATCGCGTTTCCGGTTTTCCCAAAAATCAAATATTAATGCTGGCGTCCTCTCGGTTCTGAGCGTAGAAACGCAAGATGCGTTCGCTGTTTTCCGAAACGTCGTGCGCCGCGCGGCTGGTCGCACAGGTCACCGACTTTTCCAGCGCAGCCTTGACGTTCTTGGCGAGCACCTTGCCGAGTTCGACGCCCCACTGGTCGAACGAATTCATGCCCATCAAAAAGCCGTAGATTGCGACGCGGTGTTCGTAGATCGCGAGCAGCAGTCCGACGTTGTGCGCGTTCGCGGCCTCGCGGAAGAGCAGGCTCAGGCTCGGCCGGTTGCCAGTGAAGACCTTGTGTGGAACGAGCTCCGCCGGGACGCCTTCCGCGGCAAGCTGCTCGGCGGACTTTCCGAAGGCCAGCGCGTCCGGCTGCGCGAAAAAGTTGCTCATCAGCTCGTCGTGCAGACTCAGGCGCTCGCCTGCGATTTTTAAATTCGTCTGCGACTTGCAGAAGCCGATGAAGTCGCACGGTATCACGCGGCCCTGGTGGATCATTTGGTAAAACGAGTGCTGCCCGTTGGTGCCCGGCTCGCCAAAGACGATCTCGCCGGAGAGCGAAAGATCCGGGAACGGCACGCCGTCCTTCGTTACGCGTTTCCCGTTCGACTCCATCGAGAGCTGCTGCACGTGCGCGGGGAAGCGCGCGAGACACTGCGCGTATGGCAGCACTGCGAGACAGCCGAACTTAAGGTAGACCGCGTTCCACACCGTGACCAGCGCGAGCCGCGCCGCGACACTCGCGACGCGGTTGCGCAGCACGTCCTCGTCCCCCGCGCGCGCGCCAGCGAGGAACTGTTGCACGACCGGCGGGCCAAAGTACAGCGCGAGCGGCAGCACGCCGACTGCGGAGGTCACGCTGTAGCGGCCGCCGACCCAGTCCCAAAACTCGAAGACGCGCTCCGCTTGGATGCCGAAGGCGGCGCATTTGTCGACGGCAGTCGAGACGGCGCAGAAGTGCTGCGGCACGGCGGCCGCGCCGAGCCGCTGCGCGAGCCACTCCTTCGCGACGTTTGCGTTGAGCATGGTTTCCGCGGTCGTGAAAGTCTTGCTGATGACGACGACGAGCGTCTCGGCCGCGTCGAGGTCGCGCAGCGTGCGGAACGCGTCGACTGGGTCGACGTTCGAGAGCAGTCGCAGCCGCAGCCCGCTGCAGCTGGCGCAGCCGTCCTTCGAAGTCTCGAGCGCCGTGCGCACGAAGTCGAGCCCCAGGTAGCTGCCGCCGATTCCGACGCAGACCACGTTCACAAGCCGGCGGCCCGAGATCCCGCGCGTCTCGCCGCTGCGCACACTTTCCGCGAAGCGGAACACCTTCTGCAGCACGCCCGCGGCGAGCTTCTCGAGCCCTTGCCCGTTCAGAGACACGGGCGTGCCGCGCAACGCCATGTGGGCTACGGCGCGGCGCTCAGTCGAGTTGCAGAGCGCGCCGCCGAACATCTGGTCGAGCTGCTCGTCGACGCGCGCCACTTTGTACAGCTCTTGCAGCTCACGGTACGCCGCGGCAGTCAGCAGCTCCCGCGAGGCGTCGAAGTAGAGGTCGGGCGTTTCGAGTGTGAGCAGCGCGTTGCGCGCCACGTCCTGCGTGTGGCGTCGCAGGAACTGTGGGTCTGCATGCTGCGCGCGCGCACTTACCGCTCAACGCTTCGCGCGCCAGCGCCTGCAATTTTTGGTGCGTCGCGGATTGCCAGATCATTTTATATGAACAGTGATGATAATACGTATATCGAATTAATTAGCCCGCAACACACATGCTTGCATAATACTTCACATCTTTTCCGAGGCATGCACTCTGCAAAACGCGCAATCTAAGTCGGGAGCAATGAATGTTTACGAGTTTATCCCGCTGAAGCCGTACGCAGGCGAGACGAGAGTCGCGCGCGCGGAGCGCACGCAACGCGAGACGCGCGGCGAAGGCGCCGCTGCGGCGCGCGTGCGCAACTGCGAAGCGCGCGATTGCGTCTCTTGCTGCTGCGCAGATCGCCAGAATCGCGCGTTCAATGCGGCGCTGCGCGAGCCGTCGCGTTGCGCATGCGCGCCGCCCGCGGGCCTCTGCAGATGCGGAGGCACGCACTCCTGCGCAGAACCGCGCACCGCACCGCGCCGCCGCAGCCAAACAGACTCGAGAGGGCGCCATATGCATACAGCTGTCGAAGAGATTGTTTTTGCGCCGCAAGAGAAACGAACGCCTCGCGCCAAACCTGACGCCACCGCTGTGTCAGCAGACGCTACTTTTTCGCCGCGGGCAGCTCGACAGCAGGGCCGTGCTCGGAGCGGCTCGCGCTGCTCTCTAGTGTCTTCCGCCGAGCGCATCGACTTCCAAGCCGTGCCGCATACCTGTGCGGTCGCGTGCGGCGGAGCAGGCGCTAGCGACCGTGCAGTTTCGCTTGCGAAGGCTACGCGTCGGCGCGAACGCGCGGAAGAAAGGAGCGAACTGCAGCTGCTGCCGGCAGAAGCGCTTGCGAGCTCCACGGCAAGCGATACCGCGGCAGCTCCGCGGCGGCGAAAGTCGCCGGCTACGTGGCGAGAAGCAGAACTCGCGGAGCAAGCGCCTACAGCGGTGTCACTGCAAGCTCTGCAGGCGACTTGGCAAGCGACACAGCAATCGTCGCAGCAAGCGACGCGGCCCGCCGTTGCGAACGGCCAGAGCAGAAAAATTGCGCCGCTGCACCGAAGGCACGTACTACCAGTTCGCATCGGTAAACTCGACCACGTCGTGCACGCGACGCAGCACCAGGGCTTGGATCTCTGCTCGGACTCTGCAGAGTCGCTGCTGAACGTGCTCACCGTGACCAAAAGTCGCGTGCGCGCCGGAAGACACTGTCACTCGGCTAAACCCGGACTGCACGGCGCTGCGAGGAGCGCGGCTGCCGCCCTGCACGGCGACGCTCGGTGGGAAGCAGCCGAACGCCCGGCGGTCACTGCCAGGACAGCTTTGGGCGCGAGTCGAGAAACCGTTTTGACAGACGCGTTTTCGTTGGAATCAAAGCGAAGCGACACTTTCGGTCACGCGGAGAAACGCCCGCGAGAAATCGAAAAGCGCGCTTTCGCCGAGCTGCCGACTGCTGCCAACTCGCCGAGTGCGCGCGCTGCGTCGCACCTTCCCCCGGAGTTGGACAACGGCCAAGCTGTTTCCGCGAAAGCGCTTGGCGCTGCGTGCGACCAGCTTTCGACAAGCAGAACGCAGGAGGTGAAACACGCGTCGCTGTACGCGTCGCTGTACGCGCCGAACGGCGGCAGCGTTTCAGCCGCGCGGATGGACGCGCTGAGCAGCAAGACGGCAGCGCGAGCTCCCGTGATACAAAATGTGGAAAGCATTTCAAGAAAGACACAGAAACTGCATCTGCCGACAGCTACGCCTAGTAAAAGTGGCGCGAGCGCGGACAGCGTGGCCTCGAACCCGTCAGCCACGTCCATCCAAGAGCGCATAAACGAAGTCAGCTCGAACTTGGCGCAGCTTGAGAAAGCGCACGCTGGTCCACTCACGCACCTGCCCGCGTCGCCGCCCTCCTTGCGCACAAGCCGAGAAGAGTTGCAATACCTTCTGGCGGCACGCGTTCTCGCGGAGCAAGGCGACGCGGAAAGCGTCAACAAGCTCGGAGCGCGCGTCTCGCCACCTGTTGCCACAGACGTGACCGGTTCCCCGGCTGCGCGCGGTCAATCTTCGACACCTCGACGCCACGCAGCAGCCGTGGCAAGCGCAGCCAGCGCAGAGAGAGATGTGGACGATGTCGGTTTGCCCGCGACTGTGCACACCTCTACGGAGCGAAAAACCGAATTTGCGATTGGGATAGCGGAAGCTCCGCTTTCAGGCGCCGGCACCTCTGCTATCTTTGTCAGCGAAGAGCTCACAGATACGCCCGTAAAGAAAGCGCCGAGTCTCGCAAGTCCCTCGCTCGGCGGATCGACGGCCGAACCGTCCGTGAAAAAAGCGCCGAGTCTCGCAAGTCCCTCGCTCGGCGGACCGAAGGCCGAACCGTTCGTGAAGAAAGCGCCGAGTCTCGCAAGTCCCTCGCTCGCCGGACCGAAGGCCGAACCGTCCGAGATGGAAGCAGCCGGCTTGTCGCAGCGCGAACAGCGCGTCGCAGTTGACGCGCAGTCGGCACCCTTGGCGACTCAGCACGGACAGCCAGCGAAGCTCGAGCACGGCTCAGCGGCGCCACCTGCGTCGAACGGCAGCAGTTCGGAAACGGCGCCGGTGCTTCCGGTCGGTGAACCCGCTGCTACGTCACCGGGGCAGACGGAAATCCCGCTGGGATTGGCTCGCGAAACTGCTAATCCCGCGCCCCGCTCGGCGCAGTTTGCGAAAAAAGCTTCAGGTCCTCCGGCAAAACGAGCGCCGGGGATGCTGACGCCGCAGCGCGCGTCGCTCGCACCTGCTCGCCCCTCTCCGCAGCTGGTTGGCAGTGCGAACGCTGCTGAGTTGAGCGAGCCTTCACCAGTTGCTGCGACCGGTTCTGCGAGCAACGAGGAGAGCGGTTCGCCGCTCAAAATGGAATCGGGCGTGCCAGCAAAGCACCTCGGGTTGACCGTCGCCCAGCAGTTGCAAAATCACGTCGCGCCTGCCGCGCAGCTCACAGTCACGCCGAGCGCGCCAGCCTCGCAGCCCGCGTTGAAGATCGTGGGTGTCGCTCCGGGCCGTGCTGGAAACCCAGCAACGCCTGCGCGCGCTCCCGCGAAAAGCGCGGGTCCGCCGTCGAAGAAGTTGGCTGCGACGTCGCCAGCGACGTATATCAAGATCAGCACTCAGACCCAGCTGCTCGCAAAAAGTAAGACAGGCCCGCCCGCGAAAAAAGCCAGCGGCGCGGCGCGCGCTCCAGCTTCGCCGCCAGGCGTGCAGCTGCCGCCTAGCGACGCCGTCTCTGTCGACGCGCAGTCAGCCGACAGCGCCGGCCGCGGCACGATCAGCAACGCTTCCGCGCCGAACTCTGCGCCGGCAGGGGGCGACGCGGCGGAACGCGACGAAGCCGCCAGCAAAATCGCCAGCGAAGGCGCCAGCGAAGGCGGCAGCAAAGGTGCCAGCAAAGGTGCCAGCGAGAATGCCGGCGCACCTGCGGACGCGACGTCCGTGCTGACGCGCGTAGCGTCAGCTAAAGGCTCAGCAATGGGCTCGCCCCAGTCGCCCAGTATCGACGCGGACGGCAGTTCGTCGGAACGCAGTTCGCCGGAACGCAGTTCGCCGGAACGCAGTTCGCCGGAACGCAGTTCG